TCTGTCTCTCCTCTTTATAAGCTGCCATTGATTTTGTGTTAGTTCAGCCTGTGAATAACATGAAACAAGACAGAAAGAGAGAGAGAGAGAAGAGACAGTTTGACGGGGGAGAAGGAAGGTGCAGGTGTTATAGTAAAGTGTAATTTGAAATTTACTAATTTATTGATTGAAGACATAATTAGCCTAATTTATAAGTCATTAGTTATTTGTTCTTTGTAGTAATGGAAAGGCTGAAATTCTTACTAAACTACAAACAAAATGTCAACCAACCTCAGTGTTTTTTAGGTACAGCAAAACTAGATTTAATTTTGAGTAATTATCTCTTTTTTCACTCTCCCCCTCTCTCTTCCTTTTTCTCCCTCTCCTCTAGTAAGACTAGTGGTCAGACATTGTATGCCTTTGGTCAATCATTGCCTGATGATGAGTCAGTGGCAGCTGCTAGTGATGGAGCCAAATCGTTTGAATATGAAGTCTCTGTCATTGATTGCAGTGACAGAAAAAATGTCCGACAATCTTCGTCACTTTATTCTGTTGAGAATACGTTTTGCAGCGAAGGTTTTAAAATTCTCTTCTCTTTTTCTTTTAACTCTTTTTCTCTCTTTTCACAGCACAAGTTAAAGTCTGCTCACCAAATAACGACGAAAGTTTGCTAGCAGCTGGATGTGAATCCGGATTGATTGTAATTTGATAGTTTTAAATTATTTAAAAAGTATGCATTTTTAGATGATGTTTGATATAAAGAGAGATCAAGTGAAGAAAGCGAAATCTTATTTCGTAAGAAATTTGAGTAACTTCCTTCTTGATTTATTTTGCTCTCTTAAATCTTTCTCCTCCATCTCTCTCTCTCTCTCTCACCTATTAGCTATCAATCTCCCATATCTCATGGCACCCAGCTGGAGCCATTGTTTTTGTTTGTGGCAGTCGTGGCGAGATACAGTGTCTTGATTGTGCCCTTAACCCTCTCTCCTTCCTACTCACTAGTGACGTATTGACTGATATCAGCACCACACCTTTACTCCAGATTGGATCACACTGCTTGTGAGTTTAATTATTATTTTTAAAATGGTCGTAACTCGAAAGTTTTTTGTTGGATGTAACTCAAAAT